AAACGTTAGGAAACAAAACTTCAAGACCACGGCCACACAGCCCGGAAGACCCACACCAGCCAAAAGCAACATAGTTCAGGGATGCAGAGCATTCTGGGGACTCTCTGCTCTGGTTGGCTATATATAGACCACGCCTTTTGGAATGCGGCCTGTGCCTTAAAGCCAACGAGATCTGACTGAGGGTGCCCTGCCCGCTGTTAGGCCTCACTGGAGAAAGGAAGTGGGGGTGGGGGGGTCTACCAAAACAAGTTTGCTAAACTCCTTCAAGCATCCTCCACTGGACTGCAAGGGTGGGGGGAGGTCATGTCCACTGGCCCCACCCTGGTGCTCTTACCTCTTCTTCCTGCAGGCCATAAGAACAGAGCTCATCCTGTGTTTATAAGCTCTTCCTATCCTTTTGATCAAAGAGTTAAAGTTTCCTTCCAATGACTCTTTACTCCTGGTGACTCTAGGGACACATCCAAGAACTTTTCTTGGCAGTAATATGGAAGTGGTTTGCCACTGCCTTTTTCCAAAATGTTTTCAACTCCTCGGTATAACTTAGAACCCTAGGTTTTCCTGCTAGCCTCCTACCCATATACTCACCAGGCCTGAACCTGTCCAGATAAGGTCTGGTGGTACCATCTTTGCATGTTTAGATCCTGCCTCAACCTAAGTCACAGAAAGAACCTGTCGGCAACCAGCATCTCACCCTTCCAAATCACCCATCCCTATACCCACATGTGATTAAGGGGGGAGGGGGAATCACCCAACTACCTTCCTCTACACAATTACAGCATGAATTGCAGGGGACTCTCTCTGTTCAAACTGCCATTGCAGGAAGGAAGATGTTCTTTCTACCCACTATTCTCCCTTCTGGTCATCCTCAGCTTTTATTTGAGGTTTATGTCCTTTCATTCAAGGACCCAAACCAGCTTTTCTAGACAAGGCAAGTATTGTTGCCATGTACTGTATATGCCAGTGTCTTTGGAAGAAACACTTAACACGGAATTGCAGACATGTATTCTTCTGCATTCCCCACTACCCAAAACAGGCCTCTCAAGTGAGCATACCAGATTTTTAATAAGAATGTTGGCCACCCTTTAAGACTTTCCTGGGAGAACACAAGCAATGGAGATGCTGCTCTGAATGCCTCAAAGAGGAACTAATGACAATGAACATCTAAACCAACTAGAAGGTGTTCCTCCTTGCTCTCTCCAGCACTGGCAGAAGAAGTCATTGCTCCATCCTTTCCTCCATATACCTGAAAGCTTGGATCATCTGACCCACTTTCTTCCTACATCTCCAAACTTGGTGTGGAACGTTCATTACTAGCACCAGAGAATGGGAATCCACAGCAATAGCAGTGCCCAGCACTCTCTCTTGTTTTTTCTCCCATCAACATTATTTCCCCATATAGACAAGCTTAGGGAAATTCAAAAGCCTGCAAGAAACTCTATTCTCTTTTACTGCAGCCACTACGCTAAATTCCCACAGCATGCAAACCATTTGCAAGGTAGCTCTATCCAAATGGTTCCCAAGATACTAGATACTTAAAGCAATCACACATCTTTTTAGAACTAATGCCGTTTGGTAAATTGGATAACATGTTGTGTTTTACAAAGTTCTTCAACAGCCTGGAGAGCAGTTTGATGAAGTACTACAGCTCCTGCAATACACCACCAACTACTCTACACTCTACCCCAGAAATGTACAGCTTTGGAGGGTCAGAAGACCCAGGGATTTCCAGTGGCAGGTCCTGGACCACACCCCCTAAAAAGAGGCAGGACCAGAAAAACGTACACTTACATTAATTTGCACAACATTTAATTAAAATGAGATTAAATTGCTTAAACCCAGCTAATCTGATGTCAGCCTTCCCAGGTAGACCAGACAGGAAACACAACCAGATGAGCTAACTCTACTTATTGTAAGGCTACATTAACAGAATCTTGTAAGTCTGAAAGTACAATCTCCTGCCATCTCCTTTACAGCCTGAGAAGTCAGGGAGTGTCCTTTCTGAGTCTCTTTCTCTTCCCATTATGCAGCTGCAGGCTATGCCATCTCTTATCCGACCATTCCCTAGGCAGCATCTCTTCGTCCTGTTTCTCAAGGTCTTTCTCACATACCATTATAGCTGGCTACTCCTCATTTATTTAATAATATTCCTTTCTCATGTTTAACAACGGCAAACTTTGGAGCCACATCCAGGGTTTCAAGGTTGTAAATAGTTTCACACACTGACTGCACTTTAGCAAAAACCAATTTCCCATTCACTTCCCATGCTTACCGATGATAATCGAGCCTGGACTGCTGAAGCTGCTGCTGCTGCTGCAGAAGCTTGGCTTCTTGTTTTGCTAACAAATTCTGAAGACGTTCCTTTTCGATTTCAAGTTCTATTTTCTGGAGCAAGAGCTGTTTCCTTTTTTCTTCGGAGACGTTTTGACCATGATCGGTTTCTTTTGATCTCAAGCCTTTGCTAGCCTTCTGCCTAGGAGGATGCATTGAGCAAAAATATTCCAAGGAGGATTCACAATGAGGTCCCAAGTATCTTTCTTGAATATGGCAAGCATCCTGAAAAGGTTCATGAGCTGAGTTTCCCAGTTTTTTATGGAAAGGACACGTTTGAAGAGGACAAGCATTCTTCCTCTTGTCCCCATCAGGAGTTCTTTTAACATGGGGAGTCAACTGCTGCTTTGCTGGAGAGGCCATGTTGTTGCATTTATTATGCAATCCATTTTCCAAAAGAAGTCCATTCCTGGCATCAGTCTGACATCCCTGGGTGCCAGTTCCAAGAACACCCCTATTCCTACTAGGCCAAGCTGAAGGTAGAAGAGTAGGGCTTCTATGGGTTATGTTGTGGTTCTTATATAAGGTTTGTGGTCTAGCTACACCAAGGTAGGATCCATCCAGATCTGAGGGTGGCACCAGCTGACAGTGACCTCTCTGGTTAGACATCTGTAAGTAAAGAGAAAAGCAAACCATGTTCAGCTTCCACAATTCAGAACCTTGTCCACAGTTCCTTTACTAGTTCTTCTCAGTGGTTTACAGGGCAAAAAAGGACACTGAAATGAGTGGGCTTGAAATGGTTTGATTATCAACACCTAGCACGACTCCACAGCACATCGTTTTCAAGCGGAAGAGATGAACGTGCTATCAAATCTGCAATTTAATTCTGTCTACACAGGTACAATAAATATAAAAGCACTGCCTGCAGGATCTGGGGCATAAACAAGGCACTTCAGCCTATCAAGGAATTGCGAGTATCTAGGGTTACATAAAATCAACTTGAAGTGTGGCAAAAAAGCCATTAAATGTTAATGTCTGAAAATGTTTAATTTTGAATACGGAGCCAAGAAATCCATTCAGCCACTATAAATACCGTCTGATTGGCCATTACACAGCAGGGGATTTGATGTAAAACATTTCACCTTGTACTGAATGGGATATTACTTACTGTTGGAAATTTGATGAGTTTTTTTTTTTAAATATCCGTACAAAAACTGATAACGAACAAGACTGCTTCCTATAAAATACGGCTCTGAATCAAAAGCTGTCATTCAACTACAAAACGTATTTAAATCTCACTATAAAAGAGTTTTTTTTTCCCAATAAAGCTGGGGGTGGGGGCGATGAGACTGATAAAATTCCAAAGCTTGAAATACACACCAAGTTGCATCGATCAACCAAATCCTCAGCTCCCTTCTCATGCAACTTGTGCCCAGTAAGTAGTGGTGCCCCAAACAAGCCTGAATTCAACTAATAGATTGCTGCATTCAGTCTGTTTCTCAGAATTCTCTTTCAGCGTTAGCCCTTGGCTAGGTAACAATGCAAGATCACCAGTTGTTTTAGGCTGCATTTCTTTTAGGGGAAAATGACAAAAGACAGACAGAATGTGTTGAGGCAAAGTACAATGAGAAATTATAATGAGGGATAAAAGTTTTTCTCTGTCCTTGAAGGTAGTTCACATATTAAGATTGTGATTTCCACCTGATAGGGCATTTCTTCCCCATCACCTTTTACTCAGTTAAATCAGTGCATAAGGATCACATCCTGAATGTCCATATATCCCATAATTTGGCAAGGACTTCTTCACAGTCCCCTTCTTCTTTTGCTTTTAGCCATGAGAATTATGGCTAAAACAACATGGCCCAGAGGCCTCCCCATCACACATTTATTTTCCTTGGCACCATATCATAATTAGTTTATTAAATCAATTGCCGTACCAACTTAACAGCACATCATCACTCAGTCTTTCAGCTAGTATCTGCAGCCCTAGGTAGAGGCCAGAAGATGACATGGTGACTGCACGGAGTCTGCTGTTTTGTTTTCTCCCAGGTGTATGGGTGCTTGGTGCTTGGCCATACCCATCATAGGAAGCACATTGTAAGAGTGCCCATAACATGCTCTCACATTTCCAAATGTGTCCCCAAAGTTTGGGAACTTCTGCTCCAAGCAACTTCAGTTCAAAGGTACTCTTGTTTTGTTGGGAGGAGAGCTCTAGGAAAAAATGTATAAGAAACAGAGAGTGGTACCAACATGCTTACAGAACAAAACAGGGACAACGTGCTTCAGAAATTCTGCTTCTCCCTTTCTACTTCACAGTGGAAGAGCATGTATTTGCATACCCAATGTCCAAGTTCAATGCCTGGTATTATTAGATAGCAAAGAACTGAAAATCCAGAAAGCCATTCATTTGAACTACTTGAAGCACTAACCAAACCAATCTCTATAGAAGATCTCTAGCAATCTTAAAGCATTTCTGGTTGCACCTCCATTTATTCGTTTATTATTCATTTTACAAGGGCAGAATTCTGTAATTTTTTCCCATTTTATTCCCAGCCACACTGCATCATAGCTGTCACAGTTTTAAGGGTGAACATTCACATATACATTTCTCCAGTCAGGCTTATTTCAAAAGCAGGGGAGTATCCTTCACCCCTTCAGCCTGCTGGTGATAATGAAATAAGTTGGCGGCTTGAACACTTTCACTTAAGGGGGGGGGAGATCACAAGGAAAGTACAACAACAAAAGTACTGAGCTAGATCACACCACCACAATTAAGATGGTTTGGGCACAAACCAGTTAAAGTCCCACAAGAATTCCAACAGACAAGATTCTATAAAATACTTCCTGTAAAACTGAGCAAATAAATAGGAAAAGATGAGCAGGACTTTGATAGCAAGGTTCAAGTGGCAGAACCTGAAAAAAATTTCCTAACGTCAATTGTGTGTCCTTCACTAACTTGAGAGCTGAGAAGGGTTAAGAAGAAATACAAGTTTTTCTATTAATGCAATAAAAACATTTGGCAAAGTTCCCCAGTTACCATATTTTAAGAAAAAATTAAAATAATCTGGAACTGATAAAGGACAACAAGGATGATCAGGGACTAAGTCTTACAATAAGATACTGGAGAAAAGAAGATTGAGGGGAACATGGTAGCACCTTTCAAGTATCTGAGGAGGTGTCACTTAGGAGAAGGTCAAGAAGACCTGTTCCAGAATGTAGAACAGTCTTAAGTTACAGAAAGGCAAATTCCAATTTAAGGGGGGGGGGGAGAGGCTAGGGATAGTTCAACAATATGGCACCAATTCCCCAGAATGATTATGTGTGTGCATGCACACACACACACACACACACACACCTCTTGTTGGTTATATGTCCAAGTAGAAGCAAGGCAGGCATCTGTTAAGGATCCTTTATTCCAGATTCCTGCAGGGGATTGTGCCCTAAATGGCCCCTTCCTGCACAATGATTCTATTATTCTAATTCATATGAGACTGTGAGATATGCAGTCTCCAGAATGGCTACCAGTATTTGCGGATCAGGACTGAGAAGCAGATCCCAACGTGCTCTCTGTAGACATGCTAAAGCAGTTTGGCAAGCCCTTTGCCATGACAAAATATCTTCAAGAAGGAAATCCTTTGCAGGAGGAGTGGAAGAAGATACCCAAGCCTTCACATGGCTGCCATTTTCTTTTTTTTTCTTTTTTCATAAGGCTGTGATTAGAGGTACATTAGATTCCCCTACCAGTTTATTCTCATAGCAACCTAGGAGGTGCCTTGATGGATAGATAGGTTTTTAACTTGGTCTCTCAGTCAATAGGAAATTATGTTTTTTTCCCCTGCAGTGTTCCAGATGGATCTAAGGCAAAGGGGACAACATGAAATCCCAAACCTTTCTTTCCAGGAGTCACAATCCCTTTCAACAGTTGTGTTGGATTTCAGTAACGCAACTGCCAAAAATCAATGCGGCAAGTTCTGCCACTTTGAGGTGAGAAACACTTGAAAATAATAGATTAAAATCCTAAAATGGGCTTTGTATGGTTTTCAAAAAGACAAAGGACACGAAGAAAATGGGAAAGCCCACCACTGATTTCATGCATGGTAACGATTCACCCACTTTGCATCTTCACTCTGGTCACTATGGCCCTTAATCCTACCCCACAACTCAGCCTGCAGTCTCCAACAGCAAGAAATCGCTTGTCCCTGGTCCAAAAACACCGGTGTACATAGAATGGGGAGGAAGGGAAGAGGTTGACACGAAAGAGCCAGCAGAAGAGAACTTAAGTCTTCTCCTCCTGAAAACCTTCTCTATGAAGCTATTTTATTTACCCATCTACCACAGTGTTACTGTCAGATGCCCAGAAGAGCCAAGATCCTCAACGTAATCTCCAAGGGCACCAATAGGCCCAGAGATACCTTCTTTTGGCCAACACAGGGCTTCCCAGTTGGATAATCCGACAGCAGTCTGAGAAATCTGCTCTGTGATAGATTCCCCATTGTAGCTACTTTCTGAATTCACCCCACGAGCAGTAGAGACCACGAAAGGTTGAGAACCTTTCCAACAGATGTTTTCTTGGATTGTTTTTGACCTGACCATCTCACTGAAGATGGACTAAGAATTAATGGGTCTCCACCTGCAATCTCCCACTCATCTATGATTCTCTGCCTCAAAGATGCCAATAAGAAAGGGAGACATCTTCATGACCACATACAACTCCTGTCATCAAATGCAAATCAAATAACCCAATTTCAGCGTTGGCAAACATCAGAAACCAGGGCAAGACACACAAAATTATTTTTAAGCATTATTCAGAGTCTTACCTCACCAAGATCCCAGTCCTCTTCTACTGAAGCAGTTTTATTGCCCCATATTACTGGGTGCTTTTAAAATTATGACTGTTACTGTTCTCTTCAACAAGCTACTATTAAGCAGCCTGGACAGTTGTGTGTTTCTTTCTGAATAACTCTTTAAATAAAAATATTTATTTTGAAGAATGTACAAAGTGGAACCTAAGTGGAAAAAAATGTGAGGTTAGGGCTCACTCATTTTATTGCCCATTTTCCCCTGAAATCTCCATTAGCTTTAAAAAAAAAGTTTAAGATTAATCATTATAAAGCACCCAGAGAGGACTGGGATGGGTGATATTAATACCCTAAGATAAATAAGGTAGATAACAACGTAAGGAGGTTAGTTGCCTATTTTCTTAGCTGAAGATAAAGGGCCATTGTTGCTCATGAATGATGTATGATCATAATTGCTGTATTTCAAGTGTGCTATACAAAAAGAAGGAGGGGGGTGATGTGAAGGTGGCGGTAACAAAGCAGCATTGTTCCTGTTTAGCACCGCGCAATCGGAGGGAACGCAAGAGCTCAACTTCAAAGGAAACTGGTACAACAATGGAGAACAGATCTCTGCCAAGGCGGCATCTGCCGATAAAATAAGGAGCGCTGCTTCCCAATTGAAAAGGAATTATCTTAACAGCAATGCACTTCCATTAATTGCTTTAACCTCCTCAAAGAATATTGCCAATGGAGCCCCGGGGTGCCAGGTGCCAGTTTCCAAAATGGCTTCTGCAGCAACAATTTTTGAATTAGTGCGACAGGAAACTTCAGTTCCAGTTTCCCCTGAGCACTTGTGTTATTGTTTTCTCTTGAGGTTCTACCATCTCCCCA